GAGTTTTTGAATAATAATTTTTTTTAAGAATGTGTAGTTAAAAAGTAGAAAAAATGAAAAAAAAAAAAAAAAAGTGTTGAAAGAATGGTAACCAAACAAGGGCTAAATATCAAATTTTCAGTATAAATCAGTAAGCGGATCAATCTTCACGATAAGGTAGTCGTGGGGGTTTGATTCCTTATAAATTTCGATTTTACCATAATTTGTCTTGTAAATAGGGAACCATCATTACATTTTTAAATCACCATCACAAGAGAGGAAAAGAGAGGTCACAGGAGATAAGTGTATGATTTTTTTTTTTTTTTTGTAAACTTTTTTTATCATAGTGAATTACTGCACCGATAAAAGATGATGTAGTCTCACATTAAGACAAACCTCAATAAATCTTACTTATTTTTATCAATATTTTTACCGAAAATCTTTAACAAAGATTGAAATCGCAGATCAGTTTAACTTTTCAAAATCAAGAAAAAAAAAGAAGGAAGAAAATAGCCTTTCTTAAAACCCAAATAATAAATCTTATACACATGGGATGATCATATTGTCTTCCTTAATAGGTTTATCTTAGAACTGAATGGAAACAAAGTGGGCGAGAATTAAGCAGATTTGGCAATTATATTTAAAAGGTCAACAACCAGTCTACGTCTCCAAAGTCCCCACCCCACATGAACAAAAAAAAAAAAAAAAATTTAAATTAAAAGGCCTTAATTAATATTTATTTTATTGGGTAAACTGATTTGAAAAGAAACTCAATTTAAAGGATTCACTCAATTTCAAGGCTCAAAGTTTGTACAATTAATTTTTAATTATATGAAGTTATAAACGTAAAGAAAGGTTTAATTAACAACATCTACCTTACTCATATTGCAATCAATAATCAATAGTTGATTTAGAAAAAAACAAGGAAAAATCTTGGAGAATAAGCACCATAGAAATGATATTGAAACGTCAATGAAACTGGACAAAGTAACACCAAAGAAGTGTATGCAAAATCGAGACAATAATTGAACTATTTATCCTTAAATCGAATTTGTCTGACAACAATGCTTACTGACGATGGCAATCAACTCCCAAAATACAACAACTATCTTCTTGTGTTAGTAGTAGTCCAAAACACAAGAACAACTAACCAAAAATCTGGCTGTTGTACTCCTTTCTTATGACTATCAGATTA